ATTTTAAAAATAAAAATAGGTAAAGCACTGCATATTAGTCTCAGTGAGACACTCAAAATCAGTGCTCAAAAGAAAATACAAAATAAATTAAATGTCCATCCAATTAGAAATTTCTGATTAGAAAACAACAAAGTCATTCTAAGGAAAGTACAAGGAAGAAGTTAGAAAGGATAAATGAAGAAATTAATTGAAGGATGGAAATAGGAATAATAATAAATGTGATTTGAAAAAAGCAATAATAGAACAGTTGGCTAACTAAGGAAGACAGGAAGCACAATCAAAATAAAAAATGATAAGGGGAAATAACTACAGATATAGAAAAAAGTAATAGAATTGCATGGGATTACTTGACTCAACTCCATGAAATAAATTTGTAAACCTGGATGAAATTCACACAAAAAATGTAAAATTTCAAAACATCCCCCAAAAGGTAGAAATTCTAAGTAGACCAGTTACCATAGAAGAAATAGCTGTTGCAAGACAACTGTCTTTTCCCACACCTCCATGACAAAGGCGACAGGTCTGTGTTACTGCACAGAAGAATTCTGAGAAACTTTTAAGAACAGATGAGTCCCTTGCTATTGTTCTGCCCTGGGCACAGAAAAAGTAGAAAACCTGTCAAATTCTGTTTATGAATTGAATATAACACTGATAAAATCTAATAAAACACACATATATCATACACATACATTCTGACCACAGAAATTTTTGAACAGTTATCAAGACAGCATGGTATTGGTGAAAGAATAGATAAAAAGATCAAGTGACAGAATAAAGTGTCCAAATATAGACCTACACAAATGTAGTCAACTGATCTTTGATAAAGGAGCAAAGGCAATTCAGGCTGGTTTTAGGAGACAGAAGATGACCATGGAATGACTGTCAGAATGGTGTGAGCTCAGGTGACTTTTCACTTCTTGAGTTCACCTATCTAGTTATTTGTACAGTAGGTAGCACATCCTCTTACACAAGGATCACAGTCTGGTCCTGCATATTAGCACAGTTGGGCTCACAACTCAGAGAGGGTTATTCTACCTGGCAGCACTGAGGGAAAAGGTACCATTACAATGGTGAGGCAGGTCCCATCTCTGTAAAAGGGGAGGTTTTGACTAAGAGACAGTCTCTCATTCTGGGCTTTGTCTGGGAGCTGTGGGGTTTACAGAGATGAATAGGTGAATAAGGTATGTATGGGAGCCCAAGTCCAACGGGGAAGATACAGCAAAGGCAGAGTGAGATGTGTAGGAAGAGGCCCTTTAGAGGGGCTTCATCTTGAGGCATTAGTGGCCACCTCTGCCACCTCTTTTACCCCTCGACCTGTTTTATCTGTTTCCTGTTATCTTCCCCTCTCCTTTTACCCACCATCTCTTCTTTGCTTTCTTTTTTCCTCGGCTCTGCCTTAACACAGTGTTTTTCCAACTGTTGGCAGCAACTGGTTAATGGTCATAAAATCAATTCAGTAGGCTCATTCATTCTAAAAAAAACTTTTTAAATTATGAAAAATTTTAAACATGCACAAAAGTAGGAAGAATAGTAAAATAACCCACATGCCACCTTGATTTAACAATTATCAATATTTTCTAGTATTTATCTCATTTATTCTCTTTGAAATGATAGACAATGACACCTCATTCCTAAAGACTTCAGTATACATCTCTAAGAGAATAAGGACATTTTCTTACATAACTATAATACCATAATTTCCAAATGCAAATCTTCCCCATTTGGACCACTGTTTTGGGAAAAAAAAAAAAAGAAAGAAAGAAATAGAATGGAAAGAATTTCAGGGTTTGTGTGTAGTATATGTAGTAAGGAAAAAAAATTGTCCATACAATTTTTGTTTTAATTATGTGAATGTATGTCTACTGTGTCATGATGTAAAATTTATACCACACTGTAGTTTGCAGTCTAAGAAGTTTGAAAAGCCAGTGGTGCTCACAGTGTGGTCCCAGGACCAGCAGCATCAGCATTCCTGGGACTTGTTAGAAATGCAGATTCTCGGATCCCATCCCATACTACAGATTTAGAATCTCTGGAAGTGGGGCAAGGAGTCTGTATTTTTAAAAAATCACCTGGAAAGTGATTCTGCTAGTTTGAGAACCAATGATCTAGCCTAAACTGGGTGGCCCCATTGGTGCCCCACTCACCGTCACCTGTGACACCCATGGTGGGTCCTTTGTCTTTTTCTTCATTGTTAGAGGCAGTGCTGATAATCCACCAACAGGGAGGTGGAGTCCCCCCTGGCAGTGTTTGGAAGATGGTTTCTCTTTGCAAGCTCAGGTATATCCTTATCTGAAAGAAGAGAATGGTCTAGATTCATAAGATTAGTAATATGCAGTTTGGTGTTTGTACCAGCATCATCTGTAAAATGAGACTAAATCCCTTACAGGGTTATTGTGAGGCTTAAATGATGTTTGTGAAATGCCTACCATTGTCAGGCACAGAGCAGTGAGCTATTATATGGTGGTGGTAGTTGCTGTACTTGACACTGCCTATCACGACTCTGGGCAAATAACCAATGTTCAATAGATGTGACTGATTGATAATTAATTAACTGGAGAGGGAAGCAAGCTTTTCTGGCTTCTCTTTAATATTGCCATATTTTAGAGCAAGGAAATGGATCACAAGTAGGAAGGAGAAAAGGAAGCATAGAAGGCAAGAAGGTGGAGAAGGAGAGAAGACCAGAAGCATGTCCACATTTATAAGAGCAACGGAGATAAGGTCCGTTTTCTTGGAAGAATGAGTTATGAGCTATCAAAAACTATGTGCTCATTTCTTTTTACAATTACAGGAGCTCAGAACTGGGAAAAGAAACACGAAGATCACAGATGACCCCCCTACCTCCACCACATGACCCAGGTGAAGAAGTCCCGTCCCTGGGAGAGCATGTGTTAGAGATGGGGGTACAGAACTGGTTTCTGAGGACAGGCACTACCTGCTACATCTTGCCAAAAATTCAGCCAATTCATCTCCATGGAAACCTTTGAAGATTGTGAAGGTGATGTGGGAAAGGACAGCACACTCCGAGTGTGATTTATTTACTTTCTCTTTCTTTTTGCTTTCATTCCTGTTCATAAGCTTCTCCTGCCTCCTTTTCCTCTCTCCATTCCCCCTCTCACTTCTTTTCATGATTCTCACCTTTAAGGCACGGCCTAATCCAGGAAGCTGAGGATCTGCAAAGTCCAGAATGTTCCACATCATCAGTTTCCTTAGCAATGTGTTGGTTTCTAGCAACCCAAACTCACAATTGGCTCTGACCGGACACCAGGGTTCTGACTACTACCAATAGGAAACACCTCCTTTGTTTCCTCAAAAATACTTGTGACCCTTGAATAGGGTCAGAAACCACCATGGAAACACAATCCAGAGCAGCTTTACTCCTTTGAGTCTTTAACCCCTTTCTGAATTTCTTGCAAGAGGCTGCTATTAAAAAATGGTTGTTCTACTTATGCAGGAAGAGTGCAAGGTGCTCAAACCTCCCAGAAGGGAGAAGGAAGGGAGGAGCCTCTGCACACATCTCATGTTGCAGGTGGACTAACATCATCTCTTAACCACAACCCACAATTGTTACAGAAAGCATTTAAAAATGTCCCCAAATCCTTGGGATGAGTGGCTATTTCTAGGGTGTTTGGAGTACAGCTTTATTATTTACTTTAACTTTTAAATTATTTCATTCATTTATTTATTTAGTACGTGCCCCCAGCAGGAACCGAACCAGGGACTCTCTGGTCAGCAGGCCAACGCTCCAACCGCTGAGCCAAACTGGCCAGGGCTCATTTATTTATTTTTTACGTGTAAAAAGGAAAGCTGAGCTTCCTGGCATTGGTTCAGAACATATGGGTGGTCCCGGTACTCTGAGGACCGGATATTCAGAGTCCTGGTGGTCGAGTATTGACGGACCACCTGACAAGATTCGCGCTCCTTTAGGCTTTTCCCGCGGAGCTCTGCTGAACGGGGTTGGTCTTTTTATTCCTATCAGGTAATACCTGGAACCAGAGTCTCCCACGCGATAGATGCTCGGAGGAGCCGCTCCTGGGCCTGATTGGAGAGGGTGCTGTGCCAGAGCCCTTGGAGGATGGAGCACTGGCGCGCCTGACAGTTGGCACACTGAGTAGCGGCGCACGGCAGTCGCTGCACAAGGGAAACGCCCACACGGTGGAGACATGTGTACACACACGCATGTCCAGCCCTGTCGGGGCTCCTATGCAGGTGTGTCCAGTGGACGCTGATAACTGCCTGAAACAACCGCTGAAGGAAGAGGGGAGAACAAACTCTAACTGCCCCCATCCCTCCACAACAGCCCCCAGCCCCGAGTTAGGAGAAGGGAGCCTGCTGCAGGCCATCACCCAGCCCTTCTTCCTGCATCCTGGAGGGATGGTCCCACATCTCCCAGTCGGCCCCCTTCTCACCTTGGCTTCCCCGCAGATACCTGGAGGGAAGGAGGAGGGACGAGCCAGGAAGGCGCACATCTGGCGTTCAGAACGCAGGTGCTGGCGGAAGCGCCAAAGTCACGGTCTCGTCTCCCCACTCTGAGTTGCTGCCCGACGTGGAAAAGGGCGGCGCTCGGGCGCGTGCGCGCCTCCCCCAGAGCTCCTGGTGCCGCGGGCGGCTGGGAAAGGTGGGCGCCGAGGCGGGAAGTGCCAGGCGCGCCGCGGGGCGTGGGGTGCGCGGTGCGGAGCAGTGCGCGGCTCCGAGCAGTCCGCCCCGCGGCCACCTCCGGCCCTCCGCGCTTCCTCTGCGCGCGGATCGAGCATCCTCCATCCCGACCCTCCTGCGAGGCGGCGCCGGAGACCCGACGGCCCGGGACCACAGATCCAGAAACCCCCGCGCTCCCTCGGCCCAGGAAGCCCAATGCGCAGTTACAGCGAGACTGGGGCGACTGCTTTTCTCACCCCCGGAGCTGCCGTTCTCCTCTCTCCAAGCCAGACGTCACGTTGGGAAAGCTGCCGGCCTTAATCTCTAAAATAATCCCCCGAAGGGCGTGGCTGGCAGCGTCTGGCCGAGCCGCCCGGGAGAGTTGGCCTTGGCTGGCAGCGACTCTCGTTTTGTGCTGGAAGAGAGCGAGGAAGAGTATGAGGGCAGAGCATCCTCCTGAGGAGATGCCCTTTGAAAATCATCCAAAGCAGCAGTAGAAACAGTTTTGTGTTGCTTTGTTTTTTTGTTTGTTTTTTACGAAATGCTATTTTGGTTAAAAGAAGAAATGGCCTCTCAAGAGCTCACCCGGAGACTGGCCACAGTGACCACTCATGTCGGTAAATGAAGCTTTTTGTGTGTGTGTGTGGTTTTTGTTTTTGTTTTTTTTTTGCATTTTATTAATGGAGGGTGGGGGCATTGGCTGGGGCCTTTTCTCCCCCTGACCTCACCTACAACCGGGGGCAGAGCCCTCCCTGCGAAGGCCTTGGGGCGCGTGCCCTGCGTCTCGGCCTTGCTGGGGCTTGTGGCAGCCTGTAGCAGCATCCCTGGGGCGCGCCCGGCTTGGGGTCCCCAGGTCTGGCAGGGCCCCGGCAGGCCATGGGCATGTGCCTTTACCAGGCGGTTGCCAAGCCTGTTGGGCTCTAAACCCAGGTCCACTGAGCTGTTAAGGCCCCATTACCCGCTTCTGACCAGGGGTGGGGTGGGGAGTTGCGTGTAGTTTACCGGGTAACGCGAGAGGAGTGGGAACAGGAGGAACGACGCAGGTGATCCAGCAGAAACTTCCGCCAAACCCCTGGAGGCTCGTTCACGAGAGAGCGTAGTGAAATGCACGTTCTTCCCCCACCCCGTACGTGGACACATTCAGTCTGAGAGCCTCTGGAAGGGTGTGACCAGAATGGCGGGGTAATATTCTCTGTTGCTCACTTCGCTTTGAGACCCTTTCATGAATGCAGATCAATTTGCACTGATAGAGTCTGGAAGTTTTTACCTCAGTGTTCCACCCATTTGTTAATACTGCCTTCTTGGTATTTGTATGTTAAATCTCCATTCGATTAGTGAGTCATCGTTGCTCTTTGAGTGCCCTTGTCCAGGGTGTTTAAGTACAATAATGATGTACATCCTGAATGATATCCTTTGTGAAGATGATTTATATGACAAGGCCCAGTTTTGATTAGTATGTTTTCAAACACGTTTCTGGTGTCAAATGTGGCCACTGAACTGGTTTTTCTTTAAAAGAAAAGGTCAGTAGAATCCTAACAGGAAAGGCTGAATGTGAAATATTTCTGAACGCAGGATGAAATAAGAAGAAAAATACCTTCTAATAAAAGAGTATTTGGGAATTGCAATATATTGAATGCTGAAATGACTGTGCCAAATACCAGCCTGCCAAGAAATTGTGGTGTAGAGAAAGGTCAGTGGACTGGGGGTATGGCCTGTTGGAAAAGGTATTGAACCTCAGGCTGAAGAATGGGAATTTTAATACTTCTTCCATACCCAGCTCCAAGGCTACTTGTAAGATAATGTGGGTGAAAACACCATGTACACTGTGAATGTGTTATTGATCTTATCTCTGGGTCCTGTGCCACTAAAGATCTTGGGCAGGTCACTGGGCCTGGAGGTAGACCTGGATGATAGATAGGCTGCCTGTGGGGCTCAGGCTGTGGTCTTTTTTTTTTTTGCCCACTTTGCTCCCTCTTTCCTTCCATAGTCAGCTCCATGTAGGATACAGACATTGATTTGTGTAGTTTTTGCCCTCAGAGAACTATTATTGGCCCTCGGCATTTCTGCCCTTTGCAGCATTCTGTCTTCTGTTCAGTTTCACAAACCTGCGAAATCAATGGGTATACATTATTGTCCCCATATTTTATGGTTTCATATTTTATGGTTTTAGGGATAACAAGTGATAAGCTTGGGACCAGAAGGCAGCTCTTCAGATGCTCTATTTGGGGATCTCATTGAAGGGGTCTCTAACCCTGCAACAGACCCTGCCTTCATGGGGAATTACTGTGAGTAGCTAGTAAAATTTCTGCTAGGATGGATTGGCTGTGTATTTGATTGTTCTTTTGAGGAGTTTCCTTGGGGAGCAGCTTCTGAGGTGTGATCATGAGTTGGGGAAGGGTTGAGAAGTGCTTGAAGCAAGGCTGTGGGGAAGAACACTCCCCTGTTCCCATCCTAGACTCTTGACTGAGTAACAGCGTGGAAGCACCATATAAATATGGTTCTGCCATGTCTAGGTCACCTTCCTCCCCATCTACCACAGCCCCAAGGGCAGGGTCATGGAGATCTCCATCTTGGCTTCAAGTGCTGGATTACTAGGCTGAATTTTTATCCCAAAGTGCTACATTATTCTGATAAGACTCGATAATAACTCTTTAAAAGGTTTAAGGAATAAATTAGGCTCCAGGAGAAACAGGTATTCAAATTTTATCTCATAAGTTTCTATCACATTTTTAGACTTTAGAAAAATAAACCATTAAGATGTTATATCTCAGTTATATATTTAAAAAATGTCCTTCCTGGCCACCTCTGTCCCTCAGCCAGTTCCTCCTCCAGCTGGGGTTTCTGCTCTTTCCATAGTCCCTGAGATCTGACAATTCAGGTCTGCATCCTGTTAGTTTAGTTTCTGAAATATCTCATGAGTCTCTTTCCTCATGTCCATTCTCACTGCTACCTGCCTCTGACCTGCTTCGGAACTTCATTTCCTCCTGACTAACCAATGTGCAAACCTCCTGCCTTTCCTGTGTTTGCCTCTAACCTATACCAGGAATTTAAAAAAACAACCCCCCACAACAACATACCACTTGTGTATTATAAAAACTTTCATGATATCTTTCTTAGTCATTCTTTGTAGCCTGGATTACAAAGCTCTTTATTATTTGGTGCCCTTTAGTCTTCTCTCCCAATACTTGCTATCTCTATACCTATGGTTGGTCAACTTGCGCGGAGTTCTTCAGCTTTGTTCCTTTATATTTTCCACTATATGTGTTCCCACTGCCAGACATTTTCTTCCGCTTTCCCTCCATCTGGAATGACCCTTTAGTATATTTCTTCTCATAGAAATAGTATATGTCACACAAGCCCAAGTCAATGCTTCTTTCTTCAGGTACTTTCTCTCATCCTGCCAGTGGGATGTGATGAGCCCTGCTTCTGATTTCCCAAGTAGATCTTGTTTTACTCACATGCCACTTCTCATGCTCTTCCTTGCATTATGATTAGTTGATTATTTGTGTACTTATCTCTGCTTCTAGACTCCTCATGACTTATCCATGTGGCCTAGTTATCTAACTCAGGGTCTTCCTCTATGGAGATGCAGAATAAATATTTGCTGAATGTATGAATGATTTGTTGTGCCTTGGACAGGACCTTGAGTACTCAGTATTGCCAGGCAATTTTTATACTTAAAAAATATTTTTTTCGCCCTGGCCAGTTTTGCTCAGTGTTTAGAGCATCAGCCTATGGTCCAGAGAGACCCATGTTCGGTTCCCACTAAGGGCGCATACCTCGGTTGCAGTTTGTCCCCAGCCCTGGTTGGTCGTGCGGGTGGCAGCCACTCGATGTGTCCCTTTCACGTCGATGTTTCTCTCTCTCTCTCTCTCTCTCTCTCTCTCTCTCTCTCTCCCTCCCACTCTTATCTTAACAAAAAGTGGGGAAAAAAATGTCCTCAGATGAGGATAAAAAAAAATATTTTTTTCTTTACTATTATTTTTTTTAGAGAGAGGAAGGGAGAGGGAGTAAGAGACAGAAACATTGATGAGAGAGAATATCGATTGGCCGCCCCCTGCATGCCCTCTACTGGGGATCGAGCCCACAACCTGGGCATGTGCCCTGACCAGGAATCAAACTGGCGACCACTTAGTGAATGGGTCAACGCTCAACCACTGAGCCACACCAGCCGGGCCAATTTTTATACTTTTAAGGACAGCTCTGAAGTATCTGTGTATAACTCTTCTGCCTCCTAAGCCCCATTTTTCAAGTAAACATTAAGCCCTTCAAGTGTTTTTTTATGTGATGTGGTTCACGCCTTTTTTGGATTTTGTTACTTTGTCAGGGATCCTTATAAAATATGCATTTCACATGTGAACGGTGTCCATGTGTGTTTTTACCCATGCAGGACACGGTCAGATTATCCTCTCCCTTTTATTCTGACTATAGAATCACATTGGTTCAATTACAGAATTTCAGAATCAGAAAAGAGTTGTTTGATTTTCCCCTTCATCTTTTTCAATTCTTGAATCCTCTCTGCAGCCTTTGCAGTATTGCTATTTATATGCAGAAGTGCTGCCCAAGTACACATAGACTTTCTACTGATACATCTCACATTGCTCTAGGATTTTGATAGACAGGGCACATATGACTCACATGGGGCTGCCAGTCAGTGGAAAACCTTAGTCATTTGGCTGGTAAGGGTGCCGGTTTCACGTTTCCAGTCCAGTTCACTCTCTCACCTTGTCATCTCACATTAGAAGTAATGATTTTGATCTTACTCTGTTATTTTTCTAAAATAGTTTCATATGTTTGACTATACCCAGTTAAACTGTAAGGCAGAAAGGAATATCCTTTGAGACATTCCTTATATAATTGGATATAGGATTGGTGGCTGTTTTGGTGACAGAAACTGTAGGATTTTGACTTTTAACTCAGGTCATTACTTCTAGGATGATACTGGCATTGGTAATACGCAACCAGAAGAAAAACAAACTTGAGAAATTAAGCCCATGACTCATATTCTACAATGGAGTAATGGCTGAAATGGCTAGGATCCTCAGCTGTTGGTGCTGCAGGCAGGATCTAATTAGAGTATTTACTGCTTAGATGGGAATGAGTCCAGTGGGGACAACTAGACATGCTGGAGTAATGACTTCATCTACCCCCAAAGTGAGTTAACTGCATGTGAGTGATTTTTTCTGTTGGGCTCTCTAGATAGTGTGCTAGGGCTTAAGGATTCTTCTGGGCCTATTACATTTTTTCGAACATGAAAATTGATTGACAACTAAATCGCAAAGTGCCAAATAAAGTTTAAGAAATGCTTAAATATGTACAAAAGTTCTCTTACCCATAATAAAACAATATTTTATTGCATGAAAAAATACATAGTTGGAATTCCACTATAGATGTTCTCAACTTATGATAGGGTTATATTCCGATAAGCCTATTGTAAGTTGAAAATATCATAAGTTCAAAATGCGTTTAACACACCTAACATACTGAACTTCATAGCCTAGCTTAGCCTTCCTTAAATGCCCACAGAGCATTTACACAGAGGAAAGTTCAACACCAGATGGCTTCACTGGGGAATTCTACCAAACACTTAAAGAAGAATTAATACCAAGTCTTCGCA